AAGCCAAAGTTTCCAGCTTAAGCCTAGGAGGCGGTGGTCAGGTCCAGCCTTCCTTGAGGTTTCTGCTGGGGTTAATGAAGTTCAAGGTCAACTAGGGAATGAAGTCAGCAATGGCTGAAGTTGCCAAATTTGTATCTCGTGATCTTCCAGCAAAGGAGGAGGGAAAATACATGGTAGGGAAGACAAATGGTAGGAAACCTCCTTGGAGTAGCCACGCTCAGGAGGTACTGGATATTGTTGCAAGTGAAACCTCATTCGAACAGCTGTTTCCACCAGATTTCAGAGCATTCAGAGCCAAAAGTAAAAACACCAAACCAAAATCAAGGGGTTCTGGCTTTGAGAGACCATGTAGGGCCTGGCTGGAAGGGGAGATGAGGGTGGTGGGAGGTAGGCAAGTGTCTTCTCATCAGGCTGAAATACCCACATGGGGAACTTGGATGGGCATAAGAAAGGAGGAATGGGAACCAGGGAGGGGCAAGAGCTTGATAGCATTTACTCAAGGAGTGAGTATGTAGATCCCAGCCCTGGAGGGCACTGCCTGGCTGGAGTCCCACCAAACACATCTTGCTGCCTTGCCAGGAGGGATGACTGAAAGGATGAGTCGCACCTGAGGAAACAGGACTGTGTTCCTAGAAAAATCCTTTACCAGGGATGCCCCTCCTGGGACAGCCTGTCCCTCAGGCTCTGCGATTTCCAATCTCTTTCCAATGATGGGTTTTCCCTCACAAAGATCTAAGCCAAACTAGCAATGTGGGATCTGCAGCCCTGGCAGATGTGTCTACACATCTGCAGCTATAAAGCAGCCCAAGGGAAGTGCTAATGCCAAAATAAGTCCATGCAGTAGTTGTAACTCCATATCTGTACTCAGCAGCTAATTTGAAGACACAGATCTGCTTTTTGATACATCTTTTCTGAGTGCCTGGAAAGCATTGTCTCGCCCCTGTCTTTTCCACTCTCTGAGGAAGCTGTGCCAGGCTCTGAATCCTTGTTAAAGGGTTTCTTTTTTTATACTTTTTCCAAGTAACAGCAAAACTTTCAATCCTGCTGACAGTGGAGACCCCAGACTGGCAGCTAATTTGAAGACACAGATCTGCTTTTTGATACATCTTTTCTGAGTGCCTGGAAAGCATTGTCTCGCCCCTGTCTTTTCCACTCTCTGAGGAAGCTGTGCCAGGCTCTGAATCCTTGTTAAAGGGTTTCTTTTTTTATACTTTTTCCAAGTAACAGCAAAACTTTCAATCCTGCTGACAGTGGAGACCCCAGACTGATAAATTCAAGTTGGT